TTGCTGTTTGTCAACTTGAGGCAGAATTTCATTTACTCTAAAGAAATTTCTGAAAAATAGATTTGGTAACAGTATAGATATTTGGAGCATTAACCACATGTCAATGCTGACTGGGGAAATAATGTTCTAAGAGAAGACAGTTATTTGTTTAAAATAAAGGCTGAGATGCCATTTTGCACATGCTTATAAATAATTTATGGGTTATTTACTTTTATAGAGGAGTTACTAAAAAATCTGGAAGAGATATTATCATAGGACAAGCATAGATACCATAAACTATGAGAGGGGAGTGGCTAGTAGGGGAGTGGGAGGGGCTTGGGGCAGAAACACTTGATGCTAGACTGTATAGTTCTCTGTTGACAATGACCTATGTGATTATATCCTTGATTTGATTGTCACATGCTGCATACATACCTTGAAAAACATATTATGTGCTGCAGAGATGTGTAAGGATCAAATGTAAATAAGAAATCATAAAAAAAATCTGTAAGTTAAAGAGAAATCTATTAATTAGAAAGGAGTACTTGGAATATTACTTGTATTCTCCATTCTGTCCTGTTCCTCCTAGAATATAAAATAACAATATAGTGTCCTTTATTTGTAGAGACATTCATTCCTTCATTCTATTGGGGGAATGACTAGTTATGTTATGGAAGGGAAGGGCATGACAAAGTTCAATGATGAATGACAAGAGGAAGAATCAATTTGAAAAACTGATCCTATGGAGAAAATTAAAGTATTGAGAAGTTTTTTAATCTAAAAATAAATAAATAAATAAATAAAGGATGGCCTTCTTGCAATTCTTATGGCAGGCATTGATACATGATCTCTTGTGAACCAAGAGATAATCAAGGATGTCATGCAGCTGCATAAATAAAAAGAGAGAAAAAGAATTTCCACAACATTGCTATAGATGAAATTAAATGTCTAATAATTGAGTATGTTAGTTTTTAGCTAGAGGGTGTCTGCACTTGCCAGAGAGAGAGACAGAGACAGAGAGGCAGCAAGATAAAGAGAGAGGGGCAGGGAAAAAGCATCTGCCTCTCCCCCACCCCCACCCCATGGTGCAAGGTCATGCCCAGCAATCCCTTCTCAATTTCTCCACCATTCTGGGATTTTGGGCATGCCTGACATATGCCAGATGTGTTTCTCAAGTCACTAGGTCCAGGACTTGAACTGTGCTATTGTCCATGTGGGATCCAGCTGCCTTAACCAGCACCTCATTGGATGACCAGAGTACACTTTTTAAAAATGTTGGTCTACCAAGATGAATGGATTATTTTTTTGGAAGATAAAATTTTGCTTAATTGGGATTATAAGTGAACGTTCTCTATGATCAAATCAATTACAAAGATCCATCTATAAAAACTTTTCTTAGTTTACAGTTTATACAAAAATAGCTGCTGGGCCACATTTAGTTGAAGGGCACATTTTTCTGGCTTCCCATTTTAGAAAAATTTTAGAACACTAAGAACTGGTTATTTTTAGCATCCATCAGGAATTGCATCAAAGGAATGAATGTGACTATTAGGTGAGGATCCTCCACTGGATATGGGAAGCCATAAACAGAGTGGGCAAGGGTCATGGGGAATTAACTAAAACTCATATATTCCATGCTGTATCCAGACAATATTTATTTTTTCTAGGTGATGACCTTTCAAGTGCCAGTTTTCATAGTCTTAACCCATTATATAGTTTTAAAATTTGGTTTTGTTACTATATAAAATAAATTTTACCTGTAAATAGGTCTAGACCTAAAACTAAACAATCTTGTTCTCAGTTAATATACATTGATTTCTATGAAGTAAATACTATAATGGGTTTTTGTTATCATCTAAGTTTGTTGCCCCTCTCCCCAAATTGATATGTATGCATATAGTACTTCTGCTTAACACTTCTGATTATGGTAGAAACAATGTTAAAAAGAAGTTTAATTTAGCAGAACATTCAAAATATGCTTCTTCCTTGAGTCTTAATTTTATCTAGTTTATGTAGAATGAGATACTGATTCTCGTCTTAAAAGTCTATAAATTTTATAAGGTACATTAGAAAGCAAATAAGACTTCTCTGCTCAATGTCTATTGGGTTTTGAGTCACAGCACAGATGACTCTTCTTCTAGGAAAGCTCTCCCAGTGGCCCCCTCTTCCAGTCAGGGTGCTGCCTCCTAGGTCTCCCACACACTTGGTACATATTCCTATCATCACACCTCTACACAAATGTATGTGTGTGTGTGTGTGTGTGTGTATATATATATATATATATATATATACACACACACACATAATTTTTTTTTCTGGAGAGATTTTGCTATAGGGTGCATGCGCTCACTGGAGAGACAGAGAGAAACATAGAGAAAGAAAGTGAGAAATCACCGCCTCCCCCAGGGAGGATGGCTGTGCTACAATCCCTTCTCCTCCATTCTCTCAGAATTTTGAGCACACATGCACACATGCCCAGCATGAGTTTTAAGTCGCTGGATCCAAGACTTGAACTGTAGTTGACTATGTGGGAGTTCAGTGATGTAACCATTACACCATCTGCTGGTCCCAATATATGTTTTAAAGTCCATCTATTCAAATAACTTTTGAGCAGTTTTGCAATTTGTTTACTAGAACTCTAACCTTGGTACATAACACAGTGCCAGACATATGCTAGGATCTCATATATATTATACTTACTGAATTAAGTAAGTATAAGTACTGACTACCCCATTGAGGGGTCACCAGACAGGAAAGTAGGCTCTATTTTCAGTCATCAATGAATTCTCATCCCCTGTTCTTACTTGCTGTTTTTCAAGAAGGTCAGTATGACTGAGATACAGTTTTGGATCTCAGATGAGGATGAGGACCAGTAACGAACAGGTAAAGGAATAGGAGATGCACAGGATGAGGAAATGGTCTTTCTCAGAGAGCAGGAGGAATGAAATAAGGCCAGTGGGTTGCTGGAGCACACCACTCGGGGACAGTATTGTGTGTATGCTTTATAATGTTGGCAGCAAGGTTACTAAATTACTGTGAGATTGTTTTCTCATTCTTTCCTTTTTCCTGTCCTTCTTCTGTCTTTCCACCCTCCTTCTCTTTCTTCATTCCTTCCCTTCTTCCTCCCTTCCTTTCCTCCTTCGTGATTTTTTCTATCCTACCATTTTGTAGTCTTTTTGGAAATCCTTAGCTCTACTGAAAGGAGCCTAAGGGAGGCCATGCTTGGCAAAGCTCTTAAAGGAACAAAACTCTCACCTCTACTCTTTACTCTTCCCTCAATTTTAAGAGCCCTTGGGATAAGAATATGAAAGAATTCTATTACTTTTCTTTGGAGATTACTCCTTATATTTTTTTAATGTAGATAATGGGGTTGATAGAGATGGTGGAGCTTTTCTGCATGAGTCCATTTTCCTGGACCCTTAATACCAGTACTGGAAGGATGTTTTATTGACACATCAATATTCAGGACTACAATACAGCCATAAATTCTTGAAGTGCTTTTTAATCACTGTTCTTGTGGACTGGTTTTGCTTCCTGTGAGGAGTCAAAATACATATTTGATGTTTGACCAACTTGTATTTTTTCTCATTTCTTTTCCTGCCCTGAATTTTAGCCCCAGTTTTAGCCACTGGGCCTGGAAAATAAGCTGTAGAACAACTTGAGGAATAAACACACACTGCCCATTGGCATAGGCAGGATTAGCCGGGAGCCTAGACACCTGGGGTTGGGGTGCTGGCCCAGGACTCTGGGAAACGTCTGCTGGAGACTCTGGGTAGGTAGATGTGTGGGATGACTGATTTCTTCACTCCCCAAGAGTTCCATTTCCATGCCAGTTATTCAAGAACTGTTGGTACATACTCAAGAGAACATTATGGTTTTCCTTTTTAATAATTCATCCAGCACTAATTAGAAAAGTGAGAACACTTTAAAATTTTTAACAGCAGCCAATTATCAAGAAAAAAATGTTTATACAGATGAACTATAAAGCAATATTTTCTAAGAGAAAGCAAATGTGGTCATATGATTGAAGTGTTGACCCAGCAGAAATGTAAAACCACATTTTTTATTAGTGATCCAGCCTGATGGTTACATTTTAAAGTTTGAAAAAAAGCTGAAGCAATTTCTTTTAAGCATTATCTCTACGCTTACACTGGTTTGATATAGAAAAATGTGTTAATGTTCTCATATAAAGGGCTAGTAGGGCATTTTCAGAGAGCAATTTATATGCATTCCACAAGCTTGTAAACTTATAAAGGAAATGCATTTAAAAGGAGACTTTACTATGTGACAGTTTATAAGGTTCTTGGGAACCATTTTGATGGATCTGCATATACAGTACCAAAGTTAGAGGAAAAAAAAAGAACATCCACCCAGATGAAACTATTCCAAGTCTTCAAAAAGTTCAAGGAAAATGCATAATATGCAAAAACTATTCATGAACTTTGAACTGTTTTGTACCAAAATAAACTTGTATTTTAATTCTATTTTTCTATAAACTTTTTAAAGTACCTTCATATCGACATCTCGAGGCTCATCCACTTCAATACTTTAACTTATTTTTAGAGGTTTTTGCCTTAGGGTGGGTGCACTCACCAGAGAGACAGAGACAGTGAGAAGAAAAGTGAGAAATCACTCCCCCCAGGAGTGATGGCCATGCCACAATTGCTTCTCTTTTATTCTTCTCCCAGGATCTTAGACACGCATGCACACACACCCAGTGTGATTTTCAGGTCATTGGGTCTGGGACTTGAACAGCAACTGGCCATGTGGGAGTCTAGCAATGTAACCACTATACCATCTGCTGGCCCTCATATCAATACTTTAGTAGTGAAGAGTAACTCAGACTTCAGAATTACTTACAAACAGTGTGTATACCACTAGTGTATCATAATGTACTTTTGATTGTTGTGTAAACTTATTTTACCAATCCTTGTAGAAAATCCTAGTTTTTATAAACTTAGTAACAAATCTAAAATATGAGATTTATCAAAGCAATTAGTCCAAACAGCTGGCATACTTACGATTGCATTTCTTCTGAACAAACCTAAGCTTGCATGCTGTTCTGTAGGTAGAGAGTCGAATGCGATCCAGATCTTGAGCCCCTGTTGGGGGAGAAAGCACATATATGATATGTCATGTGTGGGGAAAGGATTTTATAATGTTTATAAATAAGACAATGATGATGTAATCCATATACCTAGTTTGATTTTGTTTTTATCAATATATAAATATAGCCTTAAGACTTGAGATGGTTTTAGGACACATGTATTTAGGGCACAAAAGAGCACATATATCCATATATCCAATACTGAGACCAGATTGTCAACCATGTCTTTCCACCCAGGAATACATCCCTGTTGTGTTTGCTATTTCTGAGAACAATCTGCTCAAGATCTGACTTATGCAGGTATTGGGTTGTCAGAAAAGTTATATTTTTTCTATGCAAAAATGCATCATGACTTTTATGACAACCCAATAGATGATATCAGATATGCTCATCAAATAATCATTTAAAATACATTATTAATGGCCATTAGAATGTGACTATTCAGTGGCCACACACTGAATATTGTATATCTTGTCTGTGTGACCTATGCCAATGACTTTGACATGTCTTAGCTTTCTCATCTGGATGACGAGGATTATGATAACAATAGTTTTATTTCATAGACTCTTTGTAAGGATAAATGAGTGACGATACCTATAGCACTTAGAACACTGCCTGGCACATAGTGATGCATAAATGTTCATTATTATTACTACTATCTTCCTACAGTCCTCCTTGTCAACTTCAGAGGAGACTTGTTTCTAAAAACAACCTCTACTTTTTCTTATACTGTGACTTCCCGTTCCTTCCTAACACGGAGAGCATATTACCCATATTTTTGAACTACTTTCCTTTCCCACGCTTCCACTCAAGAATCCAGCATAGCTGCTGATGCCCAGAGCACGAGCTCTGCATGCTCCATTCAGAATCCAAGCCCCGCTGCACGCTGTCTCCATTGTAACCTGCTGAAAACTGAACAGTATTCCTCACCACATCCTCCCACAGGATCTCTGCTCCACTTGGCCAGTCTCTTCACAGTCACCTACAGACGAACTGTTAGTTATATCAACATCTGAATTCCTAGTGTTCCTCCTGTCTTTTATTTGCTTCTAAATATTTGACTTTCTTTAAGTCCACATTTATGATTTATAATAAGTATAATGACACATAGCTATATTTTGACATGTATTGAACTTTCTCTTTACCAGTGGTACATCAGTGAAATGTGCTATATAAATGTGTCAAAATATAATACAGTAACAAGCAAAGAAACTAGCCTGGAAGCAATCATATTTGAAGGCCAACTAATTGGTTACCAGCAGTTAGTGTAATGGCTATGTCGCTGGACTCCCACGTAGTCGACCGCGGTTCGCGTCCCGAACCCAGTGGCTTAAAACTCACGCCGGGCACGTGTGCGTGTGTGCCCAGATCCCGAGAGGAGAATGGAGGAGAAGGGATTGTGGCGTGACCATCCCCTCTGGGGGGGTGATTTCTCGCTTTCTGTCTCTATGTCTCTGTCTGGCGAGTGCGCGAGCCCTACAGCGAAAACCTCTCCAAAAAAAAAAAAAAAAAAAAAAAAAAAAAACACGTGGGAA